GCTCGCTCGCTTCCGTAATCCCGCCACACCTCCCCGCAGGTACGTGGCGACGGCCATGTCCGTGGCGTGCCAGGTGAACTGGGCGTCCAATTTCATCGTGGGGATCGGCTGGCCGTACATGGCGGCCGCGATGGGACCCTACAGCTTCGTGACCTTCGGGACCCTGCTGCTCCTGACGTTCCTCTTCACCTGGCAGTACCTCCCCGAGACGGCCGGCCGCTCGCACGCCGAGGTGCAGCGGGCGGCGAACGAGCCGCGCAGGCGCTGGGGGGGCCTGTTCGGCTGCCCCTCCCCCGCCGAAGTGGCTTCTTCGATCAACAGCAACAACGGCCAGCAGCAGCAGCAGTCGGCGTCGGGGATGGAGTACGTTGTGGTCGAAGGAGTAGACCTTTCCATAACGTAGGACATTGTTTGTCTCTCTTGTCTTCGTTTCTGGGTACCATTTTTGAAGCCGAGGCGTATGGGGTCTCGATGTCTGGGTTGTTAGTTGTAAGGTCCCCGTGCCGACAGAGCACGAGAGGGTCAGGGCTCCGCGGCATTGCTTGATACCGTTTTTGAAGCCGAGGCATATCGGGTCTCGATGGCTGAGTTGTGGTGGGGTCCCGGTCCTGAGGGAGCGCGAGAGGGTTACGGCTGCGCGGCTGCGCGCGCGGAGTGGTGTTGAATGCCGGCGCCGTATTTAAATGGGGGGGGCAGGGAGTTTGGCTGACCACGGTAGCAGCTGCTCCGCTTCGCGTGTATGAAGCCGTTTTCGTGTGGGTGGGGGTGGCTTGCGTTGTTTGATTTGGTTGTCGTGGGTAATAGCTTGGACTGCGCGTGGGGAGTAGCCTCGAATGGGTGCCACAGGGTGATTTTTGGTCATGACATCGCCAGGGCCCTTTATGTGAAGCACACACGCGCCAGAGAGGCGAATAGTCCTGTTCGCGTCAGAGACGAAAAGTAGGTAACAGCGGTGTTGGATGTGGCGTTGTAGGGTGGGGCGATGCGGCGGCGGAGGCGGCGGCGGGCGGTGGCGATCCGGCCTGTTGCTTGGTACGAAACTGGCGGCGTTCGCGTGTCGGCGGGGGAAGATGTGCGTGCATGCGTGCGTTGGGTTTGCCTGGCGGTAGGAGGAGTAAATGCAGCAGCTGCTGTGTAACAGCATTGGCAGAGAGATTGGTGGAAGTGTCTGCAGTTTTGCACCGAGAGAGGATGTACGCGCGTGTGGGTGATTTGCCCGGGTGGTGTGCCCTGTAGGGCACAGGGCTGGGAGTAGCGGCGATGGCGGCAGCAGCAGCAGCAGCAGCAGCAGCAGCAGCAGCAGCAGCAGTAGCAGCAGCAGCAACGGGGAGGAAATTCGGAAAACGTCGCTCACTGCCGTGTGTGTGGTTTCATTTTTCGCTGTTTTCTGTATTAACGTTATGCGCGGCGAGTGAGGTCGATAGGTAGCTTTATTCCGAAGATGTGGGTCTGCACAGGATTTGTCCCGGGAAGGGTCGGTGGCAAGGGAGGGGGGGGGGCGCAGCATTCGGGGCTCGTGTGTCCGTAGGCAACGATAGTGTTCGAATTGTGGCATAGGCGTTTCCTTGAACGGATGTGCATGTGAACGGGGGGAGGGGGAAACACAAGTGCGAAGAGAGCTGGCAAATATGACCCTTGGACACGGATCATCCATTGCGTTGTAACTTGACCAGGCGTGTATCTGTATTTTGCTTTTTTCAACCCCCTCCCCCAGGGCATTTTTGTTGGCCGGTGGTTGTTGTAATCCCATGTTTGTCTATGGAGGATACTCCTGGAGATATATGTTTGATCGGGCCGAAAAAGAAGGCAACGGAGGGGCGGCACATGGATGCGTGATGTGTGCATACACGCGCTCATGAAAGCCTGGACGTCAGAGCATGGACTGACGGTTGTGGTGTTGTTGTCCAAAGTCTTGGGTGAGGTTGTCGGTGCGCGCTTGTCACGACCATCCCTGGGTGCGCTGTAGCCGTGGTCTGGCCTCGGGAGCGGTCGGGTGATGCTAGACGCGAACGGAGAGCGGGGGAGGCGGTGCTGCTGCTGCGGGAAAGCTTGACTGGCAGCTTTTGTTTGCGTTGTTCACGGCTTTTCCAACCCTCCCCGTGACGTAGGGTGTGCGTGAATTCGGTGTCCATGGCGTTGATTTTGAGAGTTCAGACGCGAGAGTTTGGCCGTATTGAGCACGGAACGACGAACGTACATGCATCTATCTGCTAATGATGACATAGCGACGTCTAAACATTTTGGGGTGGTGGTGGATGTGGTGGTCGTGGTCGTGGTGGTACTAAAGGTGTGGTAGTGCTGGCGACTTTGCGTTTTCATCCTTTGGTGAGGATTTGATGTCTTGTATGACTGTGATACCCACATGTCTTCCGCGATAACGTACGAAGGTGGAGGCGCGTTACATTTTGTGTTAAGTTTGAAACAGGCGGGGGCCATCATGCGGCCCAACCCGGAAATGCTGTGCGTTTTCAGTGAAACGCTTACCTTCAACCTTTAACTGTCCTTGACAACAGAGAGCCAAAACGAAAGCTACTCTTCTCGCGGGCCCTCTCGGTTCCAGACTAGTTGTTCTGTGGGCTGCAAAGAGATGAGGAGAGAGTTTGGAGCGGTGTACCTAGTTTCGTGCCTGCTTGTTTGTTGTTGTTTTTCCTCACATTAAACTCGTGTCAGTTGCTAGTCCCAAAATCTAGTCAAGACTCGGTACGTGGTCATTAAAATGCTAAAGCCATCAGAAGATCTGAAGAACACACAAGCTCTTCGCCAGAAAAGGGTGCACAAGCCCGAGGAGGTACACCTACAATCCCTACAGCACGTTTCGTCCTCACAACCGAACTACACGCCCAGACGCTACAATTCGACTACAGCAGCAGCATGACCCCCCTTGTCCCGCATTTAACCAAAATGAATGTTTGTGGACTACAGCGTACTACTGTCTGAAGTGCTGTCTGTACAATAATAACACCATGGTGCATGGTACACACGCTCGGGGCGTGCAGCTGCTGTCTGAAGTGCTGTCAGAATGAGCGTGGACATACAGATGGCGCCCGCGCTTAGGAACCTCTAGTTTCGGCCGAGGCTGGGGTTCTAATTTTGCTGCTCATCCTCTTGTGGGCTACAATTGGCCGCTGTAGACTCCAAAGGTTTTAGTGTGGGGTTCTTGCGAGCTCACAAATGGTTCTCAAGTTCTCCTGTTTTTTTGCGAGTCAAAATTTCTTGACTGGTAAATTCTGAAGTGCGGGCGCTATCTGTACAATCAATGAAGAAGAACACCGAACCAAAGCCATCATTGCAATTGACAGTCACCCGAATCTACCCAGGTCATCTGTGTGTGTGTTAGGTACAGCAGTGTAAACATACATCGACACTGACTAGGAGTGGTTCCACATTGAAGTGGTCTTCCACGATGCAGGTTCACAATTAAGGCACCCCCGGGTTCTGATGAAGCTCATGTAGACATGTTCGTACAGTAGTACCTCGGTCGCCCCAGTGGTCTTGTGGGTAACTTCGCAGCCTGCTGAGGGCCAGGTCATGGGTTCGAGTCCCGACAGAGTGAGTTTTTTTCTCACCGAATAGTCTAAATCCTGGTCCATAATAATAGGATGAAAGCGACGCGCTGCAAAGCTCGTTGTTAGTAAACCATAATCGACTTTGTAAGTCGCGAGGGAAGGGATTGCTGTGCCCGTCTCGCGATAAAATTACCTCAGGCAGGAACCGCAGGAGGGGGTCCAGCCCCCCCCTCCTATGTGACCCCAGTTGGGTCGTCTAGCTAGTAGAAGTGGAGGATAGGGGCCAGAGGGGCAGACGATAGAATCCGATGATGGGAGCAAAAAAAAAAGTGGCAGCACGACACCACCGCCGTCAAGGATTCGAGAGGGAGAAAGCATGGGTCGGTCATGTCGCACGCCCGTTCGATAAAAGCTCAAGAACCAACTGATTCAAAGCTTGGTTGTCCTTCAGCTGTTGCTTGATCGAGTTAGACTAATCAGATACAGCAGTAGTACTGCTGTGTATCAGATGCTACTTTTTTCCAGCCGAGTTGCAAGTTTGTCGAGATCCATTATTTCCAACAAAAAAAATTCGGAAAACAAAATCGGGCGGGAAAAACAAGGTTCTTCGTAGATCGCAAACCGTCGGACGACCGACGACCGACGACGTCATGAATCTCTGATCCCCGTGTATTGTCGCAGCAGACCCCCGAAACATCTCTCGTGTTATATACACGCACGCGGCAGCTGTGCCCTCCTAATCTATGGAAACAGGGGCCGCTGACACCAGGCCGGCGTCGTTGTCTGCCTGCGCCGCCAGCTGTGACGACGCCGGCGTTGTTGCGTTCGATAGCAGCGGCAATAACAGCAACAGCAAGAATAAAGCAAGCTGCTGTCGGAGCAGGAAGCGGCCTTGGGTAGCAGCGGCGGCGGCGAGCTATTGCCTGCTAGCGGCGTTGGTGGGGATGTCGGGGAGCTCGGAGACGCCCATGGGCGTTGTGGCGGCCTCGCAGCAGCAGCAGCACCCGGTCGCTGCCATGGCTCGGGATCTGTTCCACCCGCTCGCGAGGGAGCGGAGGTGCGTGTTGTCGTGCCCAACAGCAAAGAACAAAGCGCACTGCTGTCGGGGTGACGGAAAACAGGAAGGAGCAGAGTATTGATTGCTCTCTGCCGCCGGTCAAACAGTACGCATCACGTCCTTCGAGAGGGCACTGCTGTAGCCTCAAGGTTAAACTAATCTCTGCTCTGCGCGCACATTCGCGCTACTGCTGTGCATGTGGTCTGATCGATACTAACTATGCATACTTACAGGAAAAATTTGCTTTTCCAAATGGCGCTCTACAAAACATAGTGCTGCACGTGATGAAGATGACGTGTCTCTCTATCTTCTTGCCGAATGCCCTGGAGATTGTGCGCCGAATGCCGACTCCTTTGGAATGGAATATCAGGGCAGGCCCGACTGCTGTACGCCGCCGTTGTGTCTGCTGATGGCGTGGCAGCAGCAAAGTTGCTCCCTCTGTTGATCTGTTTGTCTCGCTTCAGCGTCCCTCGCCCCTCGCCGCCTAATAGAATTCGACCATGGTTGATCTGCCGTACGTACCTTCCAGCAGACTTGATGCTGTTGCTGCTCCATATTTTGGAGACTTTTATTCGTACATGTACAAAGCAGGGATTGCTGTACCCTTCTCGCGATAAAAATATCTCAAGCAGGAACCGCAGGAGGGGGTCCAACCCCCCCCCCTCCTATGTGACCCCGGTTGGGTCGTCTAGCTGGTAGAAGTGGAGGATAGGGGCCAGAGGGGCAAACGACAGAGTCGGATGATGGAGAAAAAAAAGAAAGAAAAAAAAAGCAGTGTGATGATCAAGAACAACAGCAGCAGATGACGTCCTGCCTACTTGCCGTCCGTGCCTCCTCTTCCCTTGCTTCTTCGGCGCTCGTGGCTGCCTGATGTTGATGTCGGACGACCCATCACACGCACATCGTGCGCGCGCACGGCACGCTGTATAGGCTGGCGAGGAAGGCGGCGGCGGAGCAAGTCCTCATCCCGGAGACGGACATCACCAACTCGCGAGTTCGGGTGTGGGTTGTTACGACGGCAAGGTGAGAGTGCCTTTACTGCTGAATATAGAAAAAATGCTCACAGTTCCGTACAAACAAATTTCACAGGACGGCAAACAGATACTGCTGACGACTCCTCGCAAACATGGGGGGTGTTGAACAGTCTTCGCAGCGAGTGGAATACGTTTTGCATGCTGCGGCTGGTTCGAGATGCGGTGAGTGAATGTGTGATGTATTTCTCTGTACAAGCGGGCGTACCACTGCAACGAAGGACGAGAGGTTACTCCTTTCGCCGACATTGTTTTTCGAACGGCATCAACCGCGGGGGACGCTGTCGTTCTGTCGGCGTGCATGTACGGACGGTCCTCCTTGAAAAGAAAGCTACTCTGGGCGACGGTACATATCGCCGTATCTGCTTTTCGACATCGGCGACAAAGAGGGGTGGTCGTGGGAACGCAGCTGTGTTTTTATTTAACTCTAGCAATCAGGCGGTATTGCTGTAGTGGGACAGAACCGCGTTGATTGCGGAATCGACACATATACATCGGCCGCGCCGGCGAGGCGGAGCCATCCCCAACTATGGTGCCACACAAGAGGCGCCTCCCGCCGCAGCTGGGCACCTCTAGTCGTCGTCGTTGGTGATCGACGCTGGAGCGTCTACAACTGTGCGGCCCCGGGGGTGGAGCGATCTTCAGCGCAAGAGCGAGCGGCTTTGTCATGGCGGCGTCTTCTTTCGCAGCCCCCCGGGCCTCCTCCTCCTCCTCTTCCTCCTCCTCCTCTTGGAAACCATCGAAGCCGAAATCAAGAAATCAAATTATTCGACTAGTCGGCGGTGACCAATAGTTCAATGGTTTGATGTTGGCTTTGCAACACACGTGTCCATCAGCTGCCTACTAGGGTTTCGTGCACCCCGGGTACATTGGTGCGCACCGAGAGAGGGCGCTCCAGCACGGGCCCCGGGAGGACCTTTTGCCGTTGTGCAACGCGGCGGCTCCGCGGGGGGTGGCAGACGGATAACCCGATCCCTATTCGATTCGTCTCCCACCGCTCCGGGAAAACGAAGCTGTGAATGGTCCTCGAGGTCCGTCGCTAGAACGTCCTCTGTCGGTGCATCTATGTAGCCGGGGTGTGAGAAGCCCCTAGCAGCACCGGCGGTGCAAGAGGCCCCTGATGGACCCGTGTTGCTTACAAGCCGCCAAGCCATCAGGCCAGTCAGCGCCGGCTAGTCTGATGGTTTGTTTTTTTTATTGCGGCTTCTAAGCTTACCAGGAGGAGGAGGTGAAGGCCCGGATTACGAAGCAAGCCGCCCAGGCCCCCCATGATGACCAAGCCGCTCGCTCTTGCGCTACACTGCCCAGCCGCCGTAGCTGGCCCAGTGTCGACACCGTCGGCGGACGATGACAACTAGGGGTGCCCTCCGGCGGCGGGCGGCGCCTTTGCTGGGGCACCGTGGTTGGAATGTTTCCTGCGCCTGGCGGGAAACGTGTGAAAGGGGAACACGCTGCGCCGCGTTAGTATCTGCCCGTCGGTACAACTGATAGTGTCGTGCCCCGTGTCCGTCTAGTTCCGGAGTGCCTAGGGCACAGCATCGGGTCAAGTTTAAAATTCAAATGACAGAAAAAACGAAATTGCCGGCCTGATTTCACGCCACTTCTGGGCGGGTAGATTGCATCGGCTCATGTATCTACATGCGCTGCTGCGGTGTGATGTTTCGACTGACTCAATGGAGGGCGAGAATAAGCATCACGAACAGGCTTAGCCTCTTCCACTTGGGGGGCGAGTTTGGCAACGCCTTTGCTTATTGCCTTTGTATAATGCACGCTGTTTTGTAGTCGTATGCTGAACCGGTCGACATTGAAAAATACTCAAGCAGAATCGCGTATCAGCCTCGACTCTTTCCATTTGCGGCGAGTTTGGCACACGCTGCAGTCATGCTGGACCCGTCCCCTCGACATTGAACAACCCTTGTCTAACATATAACGTGTAAATTTAGGGTGTGACCACGGGAATCGACCGCGACAAGTGGTAGATCAGTATGGAGGTATGGAAAGAGAGACCCCAATGGTTTTTTATGTGAAGACATGAGCAACAGCATCAACATCAACATCAACATCGACATCAACGACAACGACATCAACGTCAACATAAAAAAACCGAAACGCATGAACAAACCGAAACGCAGCCTTCCGTGGATGACGGGGACGTCCATCAACCCCCTCCTGAGGGCAGCCTTTCTGGCGCGCGGCAGGGACGCGGACATGGTGACCCTTATGCTGCCGTTCCTCTCGCTCGACGACCAGCCTAAGGCGAGTGAGCCCCGCAGGAACTATTGTTGTTGTCGTCGTTACTGCTGCCACTGCTACTGCTGCTGGTGCGATTGGCTATTGGTGGCGGCGGTGGTGTCGTTGTTGTTGCTGTTGCTTCCGGCCGAATCAAAAGTACAGAACGATAGCAGCGGCATGTGACGGCAGAGCAACAGTGAAATCAATCCCCAGGTGTTCCCACCGGGGGTGACCTTCGATACGCCGGAGGAGCAAGAGGTTTGGGTGCGGAACTGGCTAGAGGATGCCGGATTGGCACGGGAATCGGAGCGCTTGCGGCTGGTGAGGGGTAACAAGAGGAAACGAGTGGTCGAAGAACGTCGGTGTAGAGAATGTTGGACTGTCTCTAGTCTGCTCTTTAAGACATCGATTGAGTTTTGTTCCGTAATGGACGTGGAACACGCCAATGTTTTGCTGTGTTCTGTTTTCAGAAGTACTCCTCGTGTACCGTTCGTGTTGTTCATACCATAGCCGCCTCTCTCTCTCTCTCGCTCTCTCTCTCTCACTCACGCTCGTTGTCTATATGTGAAACGTGTTTTACCTTTTTCTAGTATATCAATCGACGATTAGGGTATTCCGTTACGTGTATGAAATCCTTTTATATTCTGAAAGTCGACGACAAAACGGAATTCCATTCCGCGTGTGCGTGAAATGTGGACCACATCTTCTTGTATGATGAAACTTCACGATAGAAGGTGTTATGTTATGTGCGTGTGCTGAACATATGGACTGCCTTTCTTTCATGAAGATTGACGATGAAATAGATTTCCATTCTGTGTGTGTGTTGGCATCGACCGCGCTAACCTGCTGACCAATTAAAAGACTTCCGTCTCATGGCGATTGAAAACAAAAAACACTTGAAGTGTGTGTGTGAAACGTGTACCACCTTTGCTTGCGTGAACTTTGACGACGAAAACAGGTGTTCTATCCCGGGCGATACCATAAAGACTACGGGAGCATCTTCCCCATGGGAGACCTGACACTCATGATCCCGCCAGAGGAAGCCGACATCTGCATTCTAGAGGAGCCGGAACACCTCAACTGGTAAGCATACCTTGCCGTTCTTCTCCGCGTTCCCGTCTTCGTGGACCACGTCGTTGTTTCTTGAGTCACTATCCGTTCTTTCATCGCCATTTCCTTCTCGGTGTACCATCGGTGACGCAAGATACCACACCCGCTGGACCGATAATCAAAGCTTGGTATACTGCCATTCTTGTCCGCGTTGCCGTATTCCGTGGACCTCGTCGTTGTTTCTCGAGTCACTGTCCGTGCTTCCGTCGCCATTTCCTTCTCGTGGAGTGTACCGTCGGTGACACAAGATAACACACCCCCTGGACCGATGTCAGAGCTCGATTTTGCACCGATGTTCAAAGATCGATTTCTCCCCGACGAAGAGGATGCAAGTATCGAGCGACACGTTTGTCGGGAAATGTATCAATGACACGCGTTTAACACCTCCCGCTTTTTTTGGGAGCCGTCGCTCTTTCTGCTGTGGAGAAATAGATACTGTGACATTCGGTCCAAGGGGCTGTGATATCTTGCGTCATGTGCATTGTTTGCATAGAGTGTAGAACATGTGGCGCTAGTTGTGTTTATGCCTCCTGTGGATCGGGTTTCGACATTGTGCATCTTGCGAGGACCAGGGACGACGCACCATGTTTGTCCTCGCTTCTTTGCCTTCTTATTTCTCCCACCGAAATGTGCCCCGTGGAATCATTTTTCTTGATCCAGGTACCGTGCACCTGGTCGGTCGTGGCGGCGGGCGTTTAAGCACGTCGTCGGAGTCGTGCACACGAACTACCTGGCGTACTCCTCGGGTTACTCCGTTTGGGGCCCCGTGTTGACGTTCATGCTGCGGTGGGTGTATACCTTGGCATGATTTTTACGGCGGACCCGTGCCAACGTTCATGCCGCGGTGGGTGTGTACCTTGGTATGATTTTGGCTGCGGACCCGTGTGAAACATTCATGCTGCCGTGGGCGTACGTTGGTGGTATGGTTTAATTGGGGACTCGTGTTGGCGTTCATGCTGCGGTGGGTGTGTACGTTGATATGATTTAGCTGGGGCCCCGTGTTTGCGTTCGTGCTTCGGTGGGCGTGTGTTCTTGGTATGGTTTCACTGTGGACCCATGTTGACGTTCATGTTGCGGCGTGTGTATGAATGCGTTGAATTATTGCAATGGGGCCCCGTGTTGGCGTTCATGCTGCGACACGTATGCATGTATAAGTCTTGATTGTTTAAGTGGGCCCGTGATGACGGTCATGCGGTCGTGAGTTTATTCCTTGATACCTGGTACGGTACGATTGAGCGGAGCCGTGTTGACGTTGAAACAGGTACATGAACATCATCATGGCACGCGCGTACTGCCACAAGATCATCAAGCTTAGCGGCGTGATCCAGAGCCTCGCCCCCGAGAAGGAGACGGTGTGCAACGTACACGGTGTACGCCAGAAGTTCCTGGACGTGGGCCAGGAGTACGCCCACAAGGTTTGGGCGTGTGTGTGTTTCCTCAAGTATAGTAGCATCCACAAGGTGTGTGCGTGCTTTGTTAGTTAGCATCGACTGCGCTAATCGACTGAACAACAAGAAGTGTGCGAGTGTGTTTCTCTTTTTGAACGTCGACCGCGCTAATCGTCTGAACAACAAAAAGGTGGGCTCTGTGTTTGTATTTGTTTCATAAATTGACATGAAAACTCTTGGTTGTGCGCCATGCATGGGTGGTGTAATGCGTATGACCCTCTGTAGTACCACTGTTTGTAGCATTGGGCCGCGATGACTGACAGAAAAAGCGAAGAAACGACTTCAGATTAGTCTTGGCGGCACGGAATCCGTCGGAAAACCCATCCCCCCTTGCCGAATGTGAAACGGTTGGTTAGCCGGGACGCCCAATCAACCTGCGGTATTTCTGGTTGCGCACAGCTCACGCAAGGATTACGATCAGCTTCTGGTTCATCCTTGTGGAACGTACGGCCAGGGCCGGCGAAAACCCGACATGCCCGGTGTTTTATAGGGATGCGAGGCTCATGGTCTAACGACTACGTCATGCGTTTACCCCTCCTGTGTGACCCCGGTTGGGTCGTCTAGCTAGTAGAAGTGGAGGATTTAGACCAGAGGGGCAGGCGACAGAGTCCAATGATGGGAGAAAAAAAAAATGTGCACCCCCCCCCCAGCAACGATTGACCATCGTAACTGTGGGAGCAACTCCCTGTTCTCTCGAGTGGTCAACGGTCTAACCGGTAAGGCATGAGTACGCTCCCCCCCGCCCCCCTGGTCATGGTCCACCGACTACGGTATGCGTTTTCATCACAGTTCTCCTTCCCCCCCCGCCCCCGTCAGCCGCGAACGCGAGGTGCCTACTTCATCGGGAAGAGCCTTTGGGCCAAGGGCTACGACCGGCTGATCGGCCTACTGGAGTACAACAACAAGCGCCTGGGACGGGCGTTTCACATGGACGTGTACGGGAGCGGTCCGGACCGGGAGGCGATCGAGGCCAAGTCGTGTGAGAAGGGGTGTGACATTACCTTCTTCCCGGCGACCGACCACTCGGAATTGGGGGACTACAGCGTCTTCATCAACCCCTCGGTGCGCGTGGTCGTTGTTGTTGTTTTGGTGTTGGTGTTGGTAGTGTTGATAGTTGTTGTTGGTGGTGTTGTTGTCGTCGTAGTTGTCGGATGTCCATGTTCTCCCAGTTTCAGTTTCGCCTTGCGTGCTGCGCTCATGGGCCGTTTTTGCGTTTCTTTCGATAGATCATTATGGTAAAGACGTTTTGCCATGTGCCGGTTCGAGCAGCCACATTACTGCTCATATGCAGATTCGAGTCGAACCAGGAGAAAGTCGCACTGGGAACGCTTCTTTTCGAGGCTTGTGCGCCCGGCAATTTATCAACATATTGCACGTGATTATTTGGCACGCCAACAACCAACAGGTTAGTGAGGTCCTGTGCACAACGGTGGCAGAGGCCCTGGCCATGGGCAAGTGGGTCGTCTGCGCACGGCACAGCTCGAACGAATTCTTCTTCCAGTTCCCCAACTGCCTTCCGTTTGACTCCGAGGAGGACTTTGCCGCCTGCGTCAGCTGGGCGCTCCGGCACGATCCTGAGGACCTCACCCCCGCTCTTCGGTGAGTTTAGTTTGTTATTCTTGTGGTTGTGGTTGTTGTTGTTGCTGCTGTGTTGAAGCTTGTGTTTTTTGTCAGGTGCCTCTTGGTCGTTTCGCGGTAGAAATGAAGTGTGCGTGAGAGAGAGAGAGAGAGAGAGAGAGAGAGAGAGAGAGAGGAACGAAACCAGAAGAAATGCGTGCGCGTATTTTTCACAAAGTGTTCTAGGAAACCGCGGCCTAACATTCACTCGAATAACTTAATCATGGTTCGCTCTGACACTAGACCAATCATACTGTCTCCCCCCCGCGCTTCGCCAGACTCAAGCTCTCATGGGCTGCAGCGTTATTCTAAACTACTTGGTACTAGTCGTGTTCTTGGAAAATGTTCCGCTCTGACGCCAGGCCAACCATACCCCCCCGTCCCCCAGACACAAGCTCTCGTGGGCTGCGGCAACCGAGCGATTAGCCGACGCCGCGGTGATGAACGTCGGGGAGAGAAAACGACAGAAGCCGGTGGCGGACGGCTTCTTTACCGTCGCGCACGCCGCCGCCGGCTCAGGGCCGACGGGCGATTTGTTCCGCCTAGTGGCGGGGGCCGACTCGGCGGCGTGGCAGGTATTTGCTTGATAGATGTTGCGTCACCATCGTGTTTTTTTTTTGTGTCATTTTTCACCCCATCAGTAAGGACAGAAAAAGGTGCCATTCGATATATCGAGGTATCGGAACGGTTCTTGAGGCGAACACAACAACCCCAACATCCCATGGCACGCTGTTGGGCTGACGTGGCATTTGTTCCGCCTAGTCGCGGGGGCCGACTCAGGGGCATGGCACGTGGTGATGGGATGTTACGTCCCCATAATTTTTTTCGTTTATTTGTCATTTTGTATAAACGATCGCCCTTGCTTCTAGGCTAGATATGTTGATGGGTGTTATGACGTCGTCATCGTTTTTTTGTTTTTCAATTGGGTGACGGTCGCTCTATGTTGGGCTGGACATCTTGATCGCTACAGTATGGATATGTTGTTGAGGCTGTAGGAGGGAGGGAGGAAGGAGCGTGTAGGGCTCGTTCACCGCTTACGATGTACGCTTGGCTGATCGGCGTGTACCGTGGCGTGGCTGTGGCTGTTTGTTACTGCTGGTTGGTGGTTGCTGGTTTGTGGTGGTTGTGGCTTTGCGTGCGTCACGACCTATCTCGTGGCACAGGGAGGGAGAGTAGTGGTTCGTTCTGGTTTGCCCCGCTCTTGTAGCAAATTTAGTTGTCGCGAGCCTCAGCTTGTCGGCCCCCGCTCATCGCCTCGTCATTCGTTCAAATCTATTGTCGCTGGTCTCAGCGTCTGGTCCCCCTGCATCGTCTGATCAGTCCACCTACCCTCGGCTCTTGACGCTTGCTGCACGCTCGCTACTAGAACAAATGGGTCAACGAGCAACGTAGGCTGGAGAAGGAGGCGGAGCGTTCACAGCACGCGGAACATGAGCAGCAGGTGGCGGCTAAGGATGGCGTCGAAGACAGCGGAAGCAGCAGCAGCAGCAGCAGCAGCAGCAGCAGCAGCAGCAGCAACGGCAGCTCTATTGACATGGTCGCGAACGCTGCAGCCGTCGCGAGCGCGTAGCGTTGGCTCTCGGCTAGGCGTAGCTGAGCGTGTGGGCTAGACCCGCTGTGTTTTTCGCCGTCCTCCAGAGCACTGGCAGCATTCCTTGAAGCCGGGCGACAACCTCTGTTGTTTTGGATATTTTCATGTCATAGCCCCACCCGCATCATTGCGATTCTGCGTCTCCCCGCTTCACTGAGGCCGGGCGGGAACTAAATAAAGCAATGTGAACGAGAGGACCATGTAGTAAAAAGGGAGCCACTGGAGCCAACTTGGACTATAGAACCATATCTTTTGTGTGTGCCGTGGCCGGGTAGTCAGGGTTTCGTGGCGAGCATCTGCTGTAGCTCCTCCACCAGTCGTGGGCGCGCATGCGACGCGAGGGGGGAGGGGGGGGGGCAGGGGCATTGCGAGGTTCCTGCTCAGATCAACGTCGCGAAATGTACCTGGTTGGGTGGTGCCGTTGGCCCTAACCTACCACAACGCGGAATGAGCACAACGCCGGAAGGGGTGGGGTGCAGGAGCCATGTTCGAGGGGGATCCGCCGCTGTGCGTTCCGATGAGATCTCCGGAGGTGTCGCAAGGGCAAAAGGATGTGGCGGCGCCTGCTACGCAGAGACGACGGTGTTGCTGCGTCAGTGCGGTCTGTGCTCGTTCCACGTGTTGCTCGATGTTGAGTCTGTAGTCGTTCTGTAGTATTTTACCGAGATGTGGCAGCACGTCTGGTGTTCGAGTCTTGTTTTCTGCCTTTTGCATTTTATTTTCGCCGATGAAACGCGTTTGCGGTACTTCTCGACAGGCAACCGCGACACGATGGGGGGGGGCGAGTAGGCGTGCTTTTTCGTTCATGGTCGCCGGTGCAGTTCGTAGGGTGCGAAGCTCCCGTCTTGTTTGGTCATGGTCTCTAGCGGTCTTGCCATTCACTTGGGGGTGGTGAGTGAGGAGGTGTGAAGACGTCGCGGTGTATGTGTGTGTGCTGCTTCGGATTGGTACCGACCGCCCTAGCAATATCTGTGTGTGACTGGTGTGCGTGTTTCGATGCTTTTGTGTCGACCACGCTGTTTTTTCTGGCTCACAAATGAACGGACGTCGGCATGTAAGAATACGCGAACACGCTTTCTAGTCAGCAGGCTCTTCCGGCATAGGGCGTGTGCGTGTCCTGCGTGCATGTGGTCGATTGTGTGTTTCGTGTCTGTTTAGACCACAACACGTCCAGGTGGGGTTGGGACGCTGATGTCGGAGACTGTATTCTGTCGAGAGTGGGCGGTGTGTCCTGTGGCCCGTCGAAGACTTAAGGTCTGCAAAGCCTGTTTTCAATGTGGCTTCTTTTTTTTTTTTCTGCATCCCCAAAGGTCTGTTCTTGCGGTACCGGTCCGATCATAAGAAGACACGACCGTCGCTCTGTTGGGTCCGGCGAAGCTCATCCATGATTTTATTGGGTTTAGTTTTGGATTCTCCGTGGAGTTCGAGATCATTTTGCCCTTTTTCTTGGGTCGTCAGTGCTGCCTCCTCATGATCAGACCGACGCTTCAACGTACGCATTTATTTTACACGTACGGTACTCGATCCTCCCATGTCTTTTCGTCGAAAGTACTTTTTATATCCGGCCCGCCCTCGCTCCGGTGGTCTAGTGGGTAGCTTCGCGATCTGCTAAGGGCCACGCCATGGGTTCGAGTCCCGACAGAGTGAGTTTTTTCTCGCTAATTTAATGCTGATCTCCGTTGGAAGCGACGCGCTGAAGCTTGTTGTTATTATGGTAGACTTGATCGACTTCATCAGTCGCGAGGGAAGGGATTGCTGTACCCTTCTCGCGATAAAAATATCTCACGCAGGAACCGCAGGAAGGGGTCCAACCTATGTGACCCCGGTTGGGTCGTCTAGCTAGTAGAAGTGGAGGATAGGGGCCAGCGGGGCAGACGACAGAGTCCAATGATGGGAGACAAGGGCAAAACAACAAAGACCTAATATCTTCTGAGGCACATGAGATCAGTCAGTTGATCACTAGACAGAAAAAAATTCAGCATCCGTCTCCCCTCGTGCGTAGCCTAACGAACACCGCTTTCTACTACCTGGCGTGGCGTGCGCCAAAACCCTCGGTTCACGTTGATTGGTCAATTCATTCCCGACATGAGTAGAGCCGCTGCGCGGATCATCCGAGGTTGCGAACCAAACCACCAGGCTACAGAGCGACCGACAGAGACGCATTCCGAAACTTTTCGAAAATCCGTCCGTTGGCTTTCTCGTACTTTCAACGGGCCCTCTCACTTTGTGTGCGTTCACGGTTACAACCAGCAGCAGTGGAGTTTGGAGGTCTGTCAACATTGTTGTATCGTCGGTCGACCCGGTGGTCTAGTGACAACAACGTCGAAACCGCTAGTCGTGGAGTGGGTCGTGTGTTCGAATCCCCATGGAGTGTCAAACTAAAATCGACATATTTTCGGGTGAAAGCGAAAAATAGCTGAAAAAGCTCCGGCGAGTACAATTGCTTGAATACCAAACTTCGACGTTATATTAGCAACGTTGACGAGGGGAAGAGACGGCTGGACCCTCCTCGAGATCAAAATAAAATTCAGCACGCACCGCAAGAGGAAAGGTTGGGGCACGAAAAATAAAAAAAAACTCTCTTGCTGTGTGAACCTGGATTGATTGTTGTTGCAGTTGTACCAAAAACACTGAAAGCGCAGTACTCTACTTTCACTGAAGCATATAGCACACGCCTTAACATTAAAAATGGGGGGACCGTTCGCCATCATAAAAAGGACGAAAATCACACACATATGGCGATGGAGTGCGGTAGATAGACTATTTGTTTAGAGTTGTGATAATACATTATCGGACATCCAATTTCATTTGGACGTCGGCTCTGTTCTTACACCTTTTCGATACAATTCCGAACGCACCACCAGCCGTCATCAAACGGGCAGGAGGAAGGTCCCACAGGAGAAGTTTGATTGCTCCTCCGCCTTCCCTCTGCGGTCGGTGCTTCCCTTGTTTTTTTCCGCGAGAATGATTCACAGCCAGCCGTTCATTTCACTCGTCGATCGTGAAGTCATTTGTGTTTTTTTTCGCACACTGCCACTGCCGTCCCTCTTGTTCGTTTGGACTTACTGAGAGAGGGACAAAACATCTCAGTCCGCGTGAGTGAGTGACGGCACCGAGATTCGAACACCCGCAAAACGTCAAAACGTCACGAGGTTGCGTGCTGAACCACTCAGTCAGCCGCAGTTGTTTGACCGAGTTCTTCGGTTGTGCTTCCAATATCGCCTTTGATTTTATTTTTTTTTCGCCTTTGAATTCTACCAGTTGCTGCCTTTGAGCCGTATCCAAGGCCCCTTCGAGAATCGATGGGGCAATTGATTGGGGAGTTGGAAAAGACACGGCTCAGGAGCGGATGTCGCCTTCCACCTGCACCCAGGTCTGGCTGGAACTATCCGCACAGAAGCCTCGTGCAGTATATTCACCCTTCTCCTGCAAAAAATGTATTGTGCTCTGTTGCACAACATTAAATTCACATCCACCTGTAGTCTAGCTAGCTGAAAGGTTGTTTGCCTGGTTAAGTATTTTCTTACATGCACACCACGCAAATCGGGCAAATGCCCTGAACTGTGGACTGGGATAGTTACGTCCAGCTTACTATCTTCCTCTGCCGAAGTGCCCGAAGGGCCTGTAGGGTAAGAGTGATTCCCACAGGACATGATAGATTTCATTACCTTATCCCGCTCAGGTATCTGCTCGTTATCCAGGAAGCGCACAACGAATACGGGGGGAACTTGCGGCGGGCGCGCAGGCCGGCCATCTAGTGTTTGACATCACCATGAACTGTGGACTGGGATAGTTACGTCCAGCTTACTATCTTCCTCTGCCGAAGTGCCCGAAGGGCCTGTAGGGTAAGAGTGATTCCCAAAGGACATAATACATTTCATTACCTTATCCCGCTCAGGTATCTGCTCGTTATCCAGGAAGCGCACAACGAATACGGGGGGAACTTGCGGCGGGCGCGCAGGCCGGCCATCTAGTGTTTGACATCACCATGAACTGTGGACTGGGATAGTTACGTCCAGCTTACTATCTTCCTCTGCCGAAGTGCCCGAAGGGCCTGTAGGGTAAGAGTGATTCCCAAAGGACATAATACATTTCATTACCTTATCCCGCTCAGGTATCTGCTCGTTATCCAGGAAGCGCACAACGAATACGGGGGGAACTTGCGGCGGGCGCGCAGGCCGGCCATCTAGTGTTTGACAACACCAAACCAGTCGATCGCATAACATATTATACCCCACATGGACCGATTTTCGAACCTCGAACACTAAGCAAAAACAGTGAAGGTTCAGAAATGGCGGCGTTCGATTCATAATTTGGTCGAGAGCCGTACGACAAGGGATTGTTTTCTGTTCTCTGATATTCTCATCGTGTCGTCGTGGAAGGTATATAGGTATTGAAGTATATATATTGGAGATCTGTCCAGAGGAGGGGGGGAACTAGCGCGACCTGCGTTATTAGTCCACGCATACCACAGGATCATGTATGGTAAACACTCGTAAGCTTGCTAAAATACTACTGCGTTCATGTCCTCTTGTAAGAGCTGAAATCTGTCGAGGAAAACTGTTACAACGTAGTCAGGCACAGTTAACCATAGCTACGACTGCGGCGACTAGCCTTCCGTAGACATAATACAGAAAGAAGAGATGGTACTCAGCAGAGAACGTGAGCACAGAGTTGTAGCGGAGATAATTTGGCAGGCGAGACTGTAGTTGTTTTATTTTATTTATTTTTGCCTTCGGACAATTAATTGCAGATGTACCTCAGAAAACTTTCACTTAATGTCTCATACTCTACATGAATATTAAACCAATACGAAGTACAACTGTTTGGGTGCGGTAGCTCGTCAGATGCCGAAAGAGAAAGAAGGTTGACTCAATACCTTGTTGCTTAGAGAGTAAGAGACATGCGGTAGGCCACACCATCGCCATGCAGCATGTCTGTCAATACATTCCATCCGCGTACCCCCCGGAGGCCCCAAGGATCGTAGATGCCGCATACGGGTGCGAGCCAGTTTCTAAGACGTTGGCCGCGATCCGCAGTGTTAGATATACTCGTAGCATAGATAGTATGATGGTTGAATACGGGGCATGGATCTACGGAGATTGTCACTGGTAGATTGTGGGAAAATAGGAATTTGTGTTTGGTTTCTTCGGAGATTTGATGAGTGGTCTGAATTGCGTGATGGATAGGTGCGGTGACGCACTCTGCTTTCGCTCTGCTTTCGCTCCTCTTGCGCTACTCTTGCGCGAGTGCAGACTCGGTTTCGACCCTTTCTAATACAAGACTTACCCATTTCGGCCCTCACTGGCCGAGCTGCCTTTCTCCACAAACCTACAAGCTTCGGCCTACCCGGTTTATCCAACACGCAGGAGGAGCGAANCGTCCGATTCTAAACGCGGCAATACGCCGTGCGGTACTACTGCCGTCAGACTCCACCTCCAACTCTGCCTCAGACTCAGACTCAGACTCAGACTCATTTCGCAGAAAATGCGCCCCGCGGCACCGCCGACAGACTCCGTCTCAACCTCCAACTCCACCTCATTCTCCACCGCCACCTCTCGGCCAAGAAGGTCGACTACCTATTACCGGTAGACTCAATCAAAATCGCGACATCGTCGCGCGGTACCGCCGTCAAACGCTCGGCCAAAGAAGGCCGACTACCTGTAGCATAACGGGTAGACACAATTAATNGGAATGTATTGACAGACATGCTGCATGGCGATGGTGTGGCCTACCGCATGTCTCTTACTCTCTAAGCAACAAGGTCTTGAGTCAAAAAAAAGAAAAAAATCAAAACCAAGACAAACCACCTGCGACTAGGATCATGGAACAATACTTCCCCCCCCATGATTCTCACGCAGAACTATCCCATCCATCGCGAAAGCAGAAATCAACATCGAGCAGCAGATCAAAGGCCAGTACCAGGTCACAAATAAAACACATG